CTTTTTGTGATCCAATTTCTCTTAAAATTTTAGTTTAAGAGCCCTAGTCAAAATTGTTTTTTCAAGCACAGATGTTGCTAAAAATTTTAATTATGGTACAATTTTTTGACAAACAAAGTTAATATACTAAATTTCGAAGAATGTAATTATTATTTTTCTATATACATAAGGAAGACAGTATAAAATTAACTCATAGTAAAGGCCCAAGAGCGAGACATGACCAATGTAAACAGACATAAATTTTCATCGAAGGTACTTCAGGAGCTGAAATTCAAACACACGTGTGCACAAATAGCTCTCCAAAACAAATTTGCTTATGTTTCTCTATAGTGGAGAAAAAAATTTCGATTAAAAGATCGACTTGCTAAATTTGATACCATCACATAACCTTTCTTATTATTTTAATAATTAAGGAATGCAGTATTGAAAATTTGAAGAAAAGAGTACTTTAGTGTAAAAATTAGATAAAGTGTGAGCTTGATTTACATATTCAATGTATTAAAATTATAACAAAACATTCGGAACATGATTTTACCAATATTACAAAAGAAACTTGATCCTTAACGAGTTCAATTAAAATAAATAAATATAATTTGTTTAAAATAAAATTTAGATTATGAAATAAACAATTTTTAATTGAACAATGTTATTAAAATCATTAATTATTCTATTTAATTATGGTTTCTAATTTTTTTGTTTCCAATGGATAAAAGTGAAAGAACGGTATATAAATTTAAATTGTTCTATAAAATTAATTACTTTTCACCAAACAATACTAATTTTATACAAAAATGTAGCTACATATGTATATAAGATTGATAATGAAGAGAAAATTGGATATAAAATTGTCAAAATGTTAAATTGCAAAAATTAAAAAAAAAAACAATTAATTAAAAATGTGTTAAAATTTCCATTCAAAACGCAGAATTTTCTGTACATTTGTATTAAGGAATGAATCGGGGTAAGCGGAAACGGCATTAAAAGACCAAAAAAATTGATATTTCTGAAATTTTCGTTATAATGAGAATTTTAACCAATTACAATATTTAAAAAAAAAGATTTCTCTTAGTGCAACCAGATTGAAATATTTGAACAATTAAAAAATAAAAATTCCGATTAGGTCCACTTAATTTCAAAAATGATTTATTCGAATTTTTCTTTTCTATTTTAAACTTATTGTTTTCTCTAATTTTAATCCAGCTCCTCCCTCTCTGTCGATTGAGTATTTTATAGTAAATTTTCTAGTAGTAAAATTAATAATGAAGTATGAATCATTTAAAAATTACAAATATACTTAAGAAAAACAAAAAGAAAATCCAGCACAATAAAATAAAAAATTACTTTCACTCAAATGGCATTATTGATGAACGTATAAAACAAAAAGTTTTTGAATAATGTCAAAAATTTCAATTGAATTACCTTTGTCAGGTGATTCTTCGGTTTTCAATAAAAAATTTTGTTTGTTTTATACTCGTATTATAGCAATTTCTTTACAATTTTGGTTTAATTTTGAATTTAAATTATGAAACTATAAAGTTTTAGCAATTACACAAACATTCAGTATTGTTTTATATATCTATGTACAGGTATACATATAGAGAAGCTGAAATAAATAGATTCTTACATCTGTTCTGTACTAATTCCGATAAAAGTGTATTAGATTTATTTTGCAGAGTTATGTAGAGTTTTCTCTTACCGCTTATGTGCGTAGAGTTTTCCTACACAGTTATATGAAAAATAGCAATACCACAACGTTATATGCAAAAACGCTATATATAGAAATAATACATGGAGGCGATTTTTGCTTAGTATTTCGGGTTATAAAACTTTAAGCTTGAAGAAATTCAGAGTATTTTTGTTTTTCAAAACACATTCAAATGAAACTTTAAACTACTATTATGAAAAAATAAAAACTACCCCATATAAATATATATAAATATTTAACAGCCCCATTCTTTCTTCACATACTGTAAAACGAAACTCTAGCACAAAACCTTATTAATCTAAAACTTTCTACATTAAGTGTTCTTTATGATATATATTATACACTTGAAAACTTTATATATATATATACATGTGTATCTAAATAAGATTTCTTTCAATACAAAACAATTTTCTTCCACTATTACATTCCTGGATAGTATGTATATACATATGTATGCAGTAGTAAAATATTAAGCCTGTGGTCCTATCATTAAACTGTCACATTATAGCATCCTTTTTTGGTAAACTTTTTCCTTCAATTTTAATTACGTTTCAGCAGTTTCATGATAATTTTTGTTAGTGTTCGACACTGCCTAAAATTTAAAATTTTTAAAATCCAATTGACCTAGTTATTTAATTAGTAAACAAATCCAACACAGACACATATTGTTGTACGACGACAAAATATAATTTACATAGGGAAGAATGGAAAATCGAAATTTAATTCAATTTTAAAATTAAAAAAGGAAATTTATATGAAAATCAAGAATTGGGTGTGGTACATTTTTCTAAAAACAAAAACAAAAAACCAAAAAAAAAAGATAAAAATTCTTATTATTTCGTTCTTTTGTCAACAATGAAATTTCTATTTCACCTACATTTTTAAAGTTATTTTTAATTTTGATAATTGAGGTTTTTTTTTAATATGAGCTTTAAAGCAAGATTTGTTCCGGACTTAATTTACAATTTAATTTTTTGGATATTAGTTTTTTTGCTTTGAACTTGATAATAATGCTCTATCCAAAAAGCAATTAGTAGGAGTTAAAAGTTAAGATGAACTTTCTCAGCTAAAATTCAAATTAGATCGTATTATAGCACCCATAGTTTTGTCATTCATATACGAAACATATATTTAGGATTAACGATTATGCAGTATTTGAAGTAAAGCAAAAATAAATTTAAAGAAGGGTTAACATAATGCTCGATTTTAAGGGTTAATTGTGTGAGTTAAGAAAAAAAATTATATTTTTTAATGACATGGAATTTACAGTTAGTTAGTTTTTTAGAAATTTGAAAAAATTTGCGGTTTCGGAAATATAAAGCGTCAAAAATTTTACAAATTTCAAGGGGTGATAACTTGAGAGGGGGTGGAGATGGAAAAAAACTTTCTTCTAACGAAATAAACTATTTGTCAGAGCCTGAAAGCTGCTGAAATTTCAGGCTCCTAGAAAATGGGTTCTAGAAGAAAGACGGCATCAAAAATTTGGAAAAAACGGATTTTAGATATAACGGTAAATTAGCCATTTGGTTTTTTTAAAGTTCAGAAATAATATACCGCGATAGAAGAAGTATATGTACTTCTATATCTATATAGCCACTATATTTCTATACCTTTGATCTCGATAGCCACTATATTTCTGCTTTTGCAAAATTTGAAAAATGTTTATGGTTTTATTGTAATAAATAGTTAAAAAATGCAGTTTTTATAGTTTTAGAGGGGTATAACTTTTAGAGGGGGGAAAATTGTATTCCATGGAAATAAGTTTCTAGTAAAGATCTATGTACATATAAAATTTTAGCTTTCTATCTTCAAAGGTGTAGAAATTTTGTAAACATGTCCACGGACGGGCGGACGGACGGACACAGTGAAACTAATAAGCACTTTTTTCCAAAATTTTTTCGAAAAGTGCTAAAAAACGCAAAATATTTTAATTAATGAATACGTATTTATTGGAAATAAATAAAAATCAAATAAAAATTACAAAATTAAAAAATGTTAAATGCTAAGTATGTACTTGGCCTTTCTGTACTTTATAGATTTTGTTAAAATTATTGAAAAGTTTATTAAATCGTTTAGAATGCGAGATTTATTTAAATAATAATTTAGTTTTAATTACAAAACTATGAAAATTTATAATTGGTTTATAGTTCAACTCTAACAATTAAATTTTTGACAGTGGTTTTAAAATCGTAATTATACCCTATGTATGCATGCATATAAGGTACTTGCGACACTGATAGCGTTGAGTAAAATGGAGCTTCTTTTGATTTAAATATAATGTGTCTTGCGTTGTTGTTGAATATTTCAAAATCAAATGAAATAGAAAAGTATCAGAATGAAATAAATATTATGGAAATATCGTATGCAAAAGCTTATATGTGTGGTTGTATTGTTAATATTTCAGATACATTACTCAACATAGTTGAATTTCTTAGAAGCATCTTACCGTATACATATATTGTTAAAGGATACTCAAAGTAAATTATAACGATAATATTTGATTGATGGAATGATCAATAGAGAATTACTGGTTCATACCAATTTTGTAATTGATCTAAACAATTAAATTGAATAATCAAAAACTTGTTGTATCTTGGAGGATATTAAAAATTAGATTCGAATAACAATTCTCAATTAATTTTGTAATATTACAATATAAGTGTAGTTTTAATGCTTATTGGCACAATATTATTAAAACTTCTACAATTTAAAAACAATTCATTTTAAATTTGTACAAGAATTATTTTTGATTTAAAAATAATTGCTTTTAATGTGAAATTGATTATTTTAATTTCAAAAATAAATGACGCTTAAGTGGTAGGATTTTTAAGGGTTAAATTTGTATAATTTATATGTTTGCATACATGTATGTATAATATAGTTGAATGTATATACATATGTATGTATAATATAGTTGAATGTGTTTGCATATGAATGTTAAAGACAAATTTAAATATTTCGAAATGTCAAAATGATTCAAGGCATAAATATTGTATGTTTAAAGTATGAAAGACAAAATGAATTTGGTGTCTTGATTTCTGCTTTATAAACAGCAGAAAGCTAATTTGCGATTACAAGAAATTTTATACCCAGTTTAGCTACTAGCATTTTTTAATTTGCAAATGTTATGCTTCTATTTCATTGTTATATTGGGATTTAATGTCTAAAAATTGGTTTTGAAAGTGTAATTTGCATACAAATTTAATATTGTATGTTGTACATTGTAACTGTATATCAGTAAATTGTTATTTTCATTACAGCGAAACTATATATTTAATCACTTCTTTTCTTTCAGATGGAAAATCATTCATCAGAACCGAATTGGAATTTAACGTGACCAAAATAAAGATTTCTTTTGAAAATAATTATTTTTATAACATAAATGAGACGAAAAACATTTGACATTCCGATCATTCTTTAATTTGGAATGAAATTGGAACCAACGGTTATGAGGATCTATCAAATTATATTAATTTTGCAAATCTTTGCTAATGTAAAGGTAAGTTTAACAGAAATAAGAGTATAAGAAAAAATTTAAAGATAAAAATGTTAATTAGATGGTTTCTTGGTTCATTTGCAATTTCAAAACTCTTTTATTTCCAAATTAATGACAATGTCAATAGTTGGAATCGAAAGTTATGTTGTTGGATAGGAAATAAAGTTGGGTCAAACCACTAGTTTGTATTGTACCACTTTTCCCTTCAACAAGTGAAAATTCTGCTTTTAAATACAGTCTATGTATATTTATCACACTATTAAAATTATTTTCGTTCATATACAAAGCTATTTCTAGGATTACATATATTGGGATGTAATGATTACATAGGATGATGCATACATGCAGTCTTTGAAATAAAGCAAAAATTAATATAAAGAGGCGTTAACATAATGCTCGATTTTAAGGTTTAACTGTGTGAGTTAAGAAAAATAATTATATTTTTTAATGTCATGGAATTTACCGTTAGCTTTTTGTGTTTATAGAAATTTGAAAAAGCTTGTGGTTTCGGAAATATAGGGTGGCAAAAATTCAAATTTTACAAATTTCAAGAAGCGATAACTTGAGAGGGGGTGGAGATGGAAAAAAATATTCTTCTAACGAAATGTCTAAAAGCCTCTTTATTAATGTCTAAAAGCCCCTAAAATTTCAAGCTTATACAGGCTGGGGTCTAGAAGAAACGAAATCAAAAATTTCGCTTGACGGACAGAGTGAAACAAATAAGCACTTTTTTTTTCGGTTTTAGCACAATAGTTTGTCAAAAAATTAAACTTCCACGAATTTTAAGAATTTAATTAATTCTTTCAACAGAAATAAAAATAATTAATAGTTTTAATAAGATTTAGAAATTTTCAGCTTTTCATCTTGAAGCATGTAGACGTTTTGCGAACAGATGAATAGCCAGACAGATGATTGAAACTGATAAGAGTTTTTTTTCAGATTTTTTAAATATTTGCAAATTACGAAGAAAGAACAAAAAAATGAATAAAATCAATTTTGCTATAGTAAAGGCGATTTATTTTTGTGCGAGTTGCTTAAATACGACTCGACTGTACTTAAGAATTAGAACAAGAAATTATGTATTTGTGCTTTAATATCTACATTTTAAAATTAAATTCCGCTTTTTCAAAATTATAAAAAAATTGATCAAAATCTCTATAATATTTTTAACTTTTAACTATAAATAAAAAATAAACTCAAAATAAAGAAGTAATCATTTCTTTGAATCCGATTCCTTCAAATTATATTGTAGATCTCTTCTATTAGATTACAATTGACGCGTATCTAAGCTAAAAATGTACTTTTTCACATTCAGAATAAAAGAAGAACTATTCAAAAGGATGCTGTAAGAAATAGGCATTTCCATAAATGAAACGCTTAACAAAAACGCAGAAAAATCAATTTGTCACACCTTACATACTTTAAGTATATTGCATATAAATCTTAACGTATTACGAAAAAATAAAGAAAAAAATATTTTTCTTTGAGGATTTTATCATATGGTCAAAGCGATAAGATAATAACAACCTTTCAATTGTTAGCTACAAACATTAAGTGTATATGTGTATAATTACACATACATGTTAGAAATACAAGTACATTGCATATCTAATTAAATTTGATTCACTTTGCTGGACTTGAGTAGAGAGGTGAAAGATTGACAATATAAGATTGAGGGCATCACCAATCATGTTAGTTAAATGTTGAAAAAAATGTTGATTCATAAAATTCTTTCCATTTTTTCGGTAACATTAAATTTAACGGTCTTTAGAAATTTTTACCAAGATATTAATGATTTGAAATAAAAAAAAATATATAAATAAAATTCATGTGTTCTGTGATTAAAAATACAGTCTACAGATCACATACATTATAACATTGAAAAATTTAAGGCCTTAAATTAGGAATTCCTTTGCAGAAGTGAAAAAAATGCCATTCAATAGCCGTTTTTCAGGAGTTGGAGCTAATGCCATTCAATAGCCGTTTTTCAGGAGTTGGAGTAAGTTGTGTAATTTGAATGAGTCCGTAATGAATTAGCTGGAAAGTACGAATTCCTTCTTATACGTACGAGTTCTGGAAGTACTGATGTTGGTATTCTGATTTCTGGCATCCTTGTACACATATTAAAAGTTTCGGGGCTAACGTACATTCGGATTGTTTCGGAAAACAATATTTGTATACATTTTAAAAAAAGTAATAACTGTCCTTCTTTCATTTACATTCGGAAATTTTAATTTATATTATGTTATATTGGCACCAATAATTATGCACTAGATATCTAAATAAAAATGTTCATTTTCAGTCCCCCCTTTTTTCAATGTATTTTACAGATGTATTTTCAAACTAAATATGTCTTCAAACTATCTATAATGTTGATGTGATGGATCGCATTGGATTGAATATAAAACAATATAAATCAGATATTTAAATTTAAATTATAAGAGTTTAATGCTCTCTGTTTGAAAGCTAGTCACTGTATAAAAATCATCGTGTTTAAATAACTTTGATTAATGAGATTTTAATTCAGTTTGATCACTTATACATACGGTAATTTGCCCATATTGAAATTCATTTAATTCGCATATGCAAATCTATAATTAAATTTATTTTAATTGTAGGCAAAATTCTGTTTAAAATTTTTTTCGCCCAATTATTATTGTAATTTAACTGAAAAACGTTGTTTATTTGCTTTATGCTTCCTATTTATTACGTGCCTGCATAAAAGAATCGATAATAATTGAGTCATTATTATTGGAATTTATGAAGATTCTTAGTCTTTTGTAAATAAAAATATTTTTCTTTTACAAATTAATTAATTTATTTTAAAAACTCTTCAAGAAGTTATTGATTTACACAAATCATTTCAATTTATAACTATACGTCTATATAATTTCCAGTAAATGCACATGTCTTGCAATCAAAATGATCTTAAATATTTTTACAAAATTTATTTTCAAAATCATTTATTTGTTCTTAACATCGTGTTGTAAATATAATAGATAAATAAATAAATTATACGTAACATGTATTATAATAATGCATGTATAGTGTTTACCTGAAATAATGGGATGTACATGCTATATATGTTTATTAAGTTTTGTAGTAACAATTATGATCACTAATTATGAAGTACGAAGTACTTGCATATATGGTTAAGTTTATTAAGTTATTTCTATTTTATTTTAATAAAGAATATTTCATTTTAAAGTCTTTAAAATGAACCTCAAAATTTACATGCATCAGTCAATAATGAAAGTAAAATCAAAAGCTTTGGAAACTAATGTACATATTACATCGTTAGTGATCGCAAAAAGTGACTAAAAGGCATATTAAATCACGATAAATGTTGGCTTATTCACACTGCAATATAAATATTCAATATGTTCAATATAAGTGTGTTTAAAATCTTCAAATGTGTTTGAAAACGAGATTGTAGTCGTATTTGGCGAGTTTTTCTTAAACATATGGATCAAAAATTCCAAATTTTTATAAATTTACCCCCACTACTTCTATATGCTAAACGTTGTATATATATACAAGCTGTCTTATCTAATGTTTAACATTAACTTCTTCCAAATTTTTAAAATATTATAAACGTTTCTCAAACGTTTATTATAAAATTTATTAATTTGAAAATTTAGTCAATCAATAGAGATCAATGTTCTTAACAATGACTGCAATAACAAATATATTTCATAAAATATTCCTCTTGATTTACTCAAATACCCATTAATCGATCTAAAAAAATCGATATACCTCAATTCTTACAATTTTTTAGCTGTTTTTTTTTCCATTGTTATTATTATTTTATGACCAAAGGCATTATTAAATTTAATAAATTTATTAAATATTTGTTTGACCAACCCATTAGTTGTTTCATTTTATTCCTGTAGCATATTTTGTGTCTATTTGGTTTACACTCATAAATGTTTTGGCTCTATATATAATATCAGCAAAGACTGCAGTTAGAAATGATGTGTTCACTATGGAAATTTCAAATGGGAATTGCTGTATTTTTGCTGTATTTTTATTGAAATTTTATATTTTATAGCATTGTAATGTTAATCTTCGGTTGATAACATATAACATATGTCACAGCACTTGTTTTATTCCAGCAGTTTTTTTTTATTGTTTGTGTTTTGATTGGTAGTTCAGATATGATTTATTACATTTATTGTCGTCAAATGAATTTAATTTGATTTGATATTGCCAATATATGATCGAAGATTTCCATTAATATTAAGTATACTTACATAGATCCCAAAAACCAGCATTAAAATTTCCGAAATGATATGAAACTTTAAGTTCGGGCTTCGAATATAACATACTTACTTATATAAATATCGAAAAAAATTGTTTAAAATAAACAGAGTTGTACCTCGAAATGTATGATATAAAAACATTTCCAATTACAAATATGAAATTTTTGTATACAAACATATTATACAATAAAATTTACTTAATGTCAACATAAAATTCTCGGGATTAAGTTTAATCACAATTTGGATTATTCAAATATCTTATTGTATTTTAACCAAGTATATCAATGATTTTCTTTAGCCACAAAATCATCATGTTTTTAAAAAATTTTTACTTTCATTATTTTTATTCTGTGTAGTTCCACACGTAGTACTTATTGAGTGGCCTATGGTCTGTATTGATGATTAGTACAACTGTACCTATGAGTGTATATATATTCTTATACAAGATTTATTATATGCATATTACAAGTTACACTACATCTAAATGTGTAGCGACATACTAGTACATACGGAATTCAAAATACAAGCATGAAAAATAGTAACAAAAATGTTCAGAAATTATTTCTGGGTAGTCAAGCTTCAATCATAAATTATAATATAATGAATGAATAATTGAATGAATCAAATACTAGTATCGTACTTCAACATAACCGTACGCAATTTATAAAAATAACGAAACATATTGTTTATGTTGTATACATATATGTACAGGGTGGTCCAGATTCGATGGTATTTCTGAAG